AGATTGGGCAGCAGCAGCCCAGATATAGCAGCAATACACCATTATTGGTCTGATCTGACTTATAAAAATAGAGCATGCCTTATATAGAGCTTATCTGAAACTAAATAGCATAATAATTGATTCAAAGCCAATGGAATGCATTTATATTCACACACAAACACACACAAATGCCAAAAGTTAGTTACCATGTGTAGATTCTTTTAATACATCAAAATGGTCAACATGAAGCATGCTTACTTTTTTATGCAATTTAGTTACTAACATACATTTAAAGAAAAAAAGAAATAGTGAATAATTGTACTTGTATACTTACCATACTTATGTAAAATTCACAAACACATGTTGGAAACATTGAGAACATCTTAATTGATACCTGATATGTTTTTATAGGTGAATAAATAATAAAATGAATACCTTTCCCCAGTTACCAATTCCAAGCTTGTCTTTATGTTCAAGAACAGTTTTTAAAATCCTTCTATCAAGGTTTATTAAAATAATACTCAAAACTGAGTTTAGCCATAAACCATTTCTTGCTTGATACTTTTTCTTTCACTTGGTATTGCAAATATGTATTGTTTAAGACAGCCCTTGTATCTTGCTGCATTTTTTATTTATTTCCTATTTATATCAATCTGCACTTTTATAAAAAAAAGAAAGCACATTCTAATAACTCTGGTCTCAAATTGTTCTTTAATAAGGAGAGAGAGCCACTAGGGCAGCTGTGCACTGTCTGAAATTAAACAATCTACTAAACCGTAGTAAATATTCTGTTGTTAAAACAGAAGAATATTCCTTGCACAAAGCATAATCTTTTGTGACATTTTTCAAATATGATATTTTAAAATTTCCCAATGTTTTTCAAAGTAATCCTTTCTTTCCACATGGTCCTTAAGCATAAAAGTAAACCAAAAGTTCCATTGCACCTGGCAACTTTATCAGATATGGTTGTCCTTAAGCATAAAAGTAAACCAAAAGTTCCATTGCACCTGGCAACTTTATCAGATATGGTTGTCCTTAAGCATAAAAGTAAACCAAAAGTTCCATTGCACCTGGCAACTTTATCAGATATGGTTGTCCTTAAGCATAAAAGTAAACCAAAAGTTCCATTGCACCTGGCAACTTTATTAGATATGGTTTAACAGTTAAAAACTGTAAATTTGAATCAATATTTAATAAACCACTTGAACTTTAAATTACACATTGAGTCAATGAGAAAACATTTTTTCTTTAACTTTGTTAATTTTTTCAAACCATAATTTTTTTTTTGTTTACAAACCACAGATCCATAAAAATATGTTCAGCATATATATTTTTTATAAGTGGACATTAATTGGTTAGCCAGTCAATGACTGTCTCCTGTAAAGATAATTTATATGTACATAAAATCCATATTAAAAAAAATTTCCAATGTTTCCAGGAAACTTGGAATATGTAAATCATTAATATAATAATCACTACAGTTAGAATGAAAATGAAAAATCGTATTCCCTTCCATATGGATCAGGTTCAGTGCTGTTTAGTTAAGTCAGTGTTTTATAAATTTTATTAATTAGTTAATTAATTGACTGATTAATGAATATTTTTGAAGCTACAGCCCTGGATTAATGCAGTGTATCTAAATCCATTTATTTATTCTCTAAATTTATTGTAGAGTAGGAAATTTGTGAAGGGTAAACATCTAAGGTGCAGTGGGATAGGGAAAGATGCCTTCCAAAAGCTGAACAAAGTATAAAGAAACAGAAAAATATCATTAGAAACAAAAAGAAAAGAATACTAAAATCATGTAGTATCGGTAATCCTATATGTTAATAAATGAACAATCTTTTCATAGATGAAGAAGAGACTTGAAGCAACAAAAATTTGGATCTACAGAAGGATGCTGAGAATACCATGTGAGCAACAACAAGGTTCTAGAGACAAAAGCAACAAAAAAGGACACTTATGCTTAACATCAAGAAGAGAGAGTTGTAATTTATAGGGAACATAATGAGGAAAGAGGGCTTGGAAAATTTGAGCTCACAAGATAGATTGAAGGTAAAGAGGTCCAGAGGAAACCAATGCACAGCCTAACTGGTGAGCTTGAGCAGATGGATGGCAGAGCAGGGTTTGGCAAAAAGACAAAAGTCAATAAGAGCTACAAAGGATATGAAATTGTGGAGAACCATGATTGCCAATCTCCTGAGGGAACATGACACACAGAAGAAGAGACATTTAAGGGTCCTGAAAAGTTCTTGGTCTGATTCACTTTCTGAAATTTGATCAAATGCCCAAACATCAGGGATTTCTTTGGTCAGGCCACAAACATTTCATCATGGTCTACTTAGTATAACAAGTATAACCATTGCATAGATTATGCAAACAAAAAGAAGATAAATTCAGTTTGAGATTCTTTCTTGTTGATATTAGTTAAACAAAAAAAAAAAGCGATGTCGCTCGATGCTAGGAAATTCAATTTCTATAGAATTATAGAAGTATCCAAGTAAACAATACTTGTGTTGGCTCTCATGCGCCTTTGATAATTGAATAACAAGTAATACCTTTCAAAGCAACTGAAGTGCCTTTCAGTACAATGGTAAAGTAGAACTGGGATCAATGATTTTTTCTGTGTGGAGAGTTTTATTTGTGTTTTTCTGGACACTTGTTCCAGAATGTAACTTCATCCACTTTTACTAATTTACAAAAGATTAAAAAATAAAACTTGTAATAAAAGTAACTTACTGATGACAATAACAGAGATTCACCATGACATAAACCAAATAATATCAGAGTTTTCAAGCACATACCAGAGTTAATAGTAGAGTCAATGCACTTAGTGCTGATTTTGAAAGCTGATCTGAAGGAATAATAACTTGATTATATTGGTCACATATACAAAATTAGTTAGATTAAGCTATACATGTAAACTTAGCTCAGCAAAATTAGTTATATTAAACCAATGTAAATATCTTAAGTTATTTACAAATGGTTTAGAGTTAAAACTCTGACTATTAAGTCATATATATATATATATATATATATATATATATATATATATATATTAAATAAATTTCAATAAAACGTATTTTAACACAAACACGCATAAAAAATCTTTGAGTATACAGGAAAAAAATGGCGAAAAACTTTTTGCCGTTAATAAAAGAAAAACAGACGACATGCATTTAACGGATGTCAGAATTCGTTGAAAAATAAACCCCTACCTCCCTAAACTTAACCTCTTTTTCAAATGTAACTCATAATTGATACAATAGTTAATAAAAATGAACACACTACCACCCCTGTCTGAATGATTGGATTCCTCTGTATCCTTGGAAACAGTAAATTATGAATTTATGTGTGTTTAAAACTCAGTAAATTTAAAAATAAGTTATTCCAATATTCGCTTGAAGATGAAACGGAACTAATGCTTTTAATTTAAATATATAATTAAACTTAAAATATTTATGCTCTGTAAATTTAAATTGAGCACTGTTTTGTAAAAATAAAAATAAAAAATAACAAGAATACCGGATTATATATCTTACTGTTCTTTCTTTTTATTTGTATATACATATATATATATATATATATATATATATATATATATATTTATTAACAATAGATATTATCCCTCACTGCTAACACAACTTGGAGTTTCATGCACAGTGCAATCTTCAGGTGCTGATTATGGATCTGAAGATAGCATTGTGCATGAGACTCTGAATCATGCTATTGGTGAGAGATATGTATATTTATTAATATATACAGGGTGATTGAACAGTAACTCCCTATTTTATGTATGAGTGACCAGCCGGATGTCCTGACTTAACACCCTGTGACTTTGGGGTTGGTTAAAGTCTACTATACCAAACCAAAGCTTTGGGAGAACTTAAAGGGCAAATACAACAAGTTATGTCTTCCATACCATAAAAAATTCCTGGTGAAATTAGTTCACACGATTCCTGTTCGACTTGAGAAACTAGTAGTGTAATCTGGTGCCCATATTGAATTTTATATAAAACCTCATGCCAAACGCTTTCCTCTCATATCCATTTCTTGTAAAAATTATAGTTAATAAATAAATTAGGGGAGTTACTTTTCAATCACCCTGTACTTAATAGCTCTGTTAAATTACATCAAGCACTGTTTTACTAACACCAGCATTATGTCAGCAACATATATATATATATATATATATATATATATATATAATTAAAGAAAAACAAAAACTGTTGGTGGAACTTGCCAAATCCTAAAACTCTTATATACAGTCTTGAATAAAAATTCCAATACTGAAAATAAAAAAAGAAAAAAGGCCTAAGAGCAAACTTACCTACTCAGTAAAGTGCTCAAAGAGCTTACCAATGTTAAACTCTTTGAAAAGATAGCTCTAGTTGTAACTTGAGTTTAATACTCACATGATCCTCAAATGTTTTGAACAGCCATTCAAGTCTTCTGAAGACTGTGTGAACATTAAACTTGAATTATGACATATATATAGACGTAACTTAAATTTAGTTTCTTTTTGTCTATATTTTTATCACTTATCACTATATACCCAAATACATATTTAAAAAAAAAATTAATTTAAAAGTTCAAAATTTCAGCATCCCCTCCCCCTTTCTGTACATATCAAGCTACATCAACATAATCATCACTTTAATCTGATGAAGTTCTAAAGGACAGAATGTGTCATCAATTTTTTTTTCACTTTGTCATTAATTTTCCTAGCATTGTTCTGTTATATGAAAATGTATACATAATTTTCTTACATATATATGAATATTTGTAAAATAAACTGAATATTAATATTGTATAAAATGTCAAATTATGGAACTTGCTTGACAGATTAATGCATTTTAGGACCAGAACTAAATACATTTTTAATACCTTCTGTGATAAAAATGCAAATGCATACTAATTTTGTATACAGTTGAATATACAAGTTGATACAATCACAAGAAATCACATATAAAAAAAAAAGATAAAAGAGGATAAAGAAAATTGCTCAATGATATACTTACTGCTTCATTATGATATCATGTACCATGCTCACTTCAAAAACCTTATCTACTTCTAACCATTTTAGATATTCAAGTAGTGAAGCCTCTGTTTCAAACACATCATTTATAGACCCATGACGCTCAAAGAGCTTCTTGGGGAACTCCAGCCATTCGTTTTTCACTAATTTCTTGAGAAAATTAATGTATTTCGAGCGAAAGCTCATAATCTGATTGCTCAATGTGGCATTGGTTTCAGATATGAACTTGTTCAACTCGGTTTCAAACTTGGCTTGTTTTGACATGAACAAGTCATGTACAGACTTCTTGAGAAGCCCATTGTCCCGATAGACACTCCTTAAAACCATCCTCGTGGAAGTGTGCATTGATTGCAGTATCTGCGTGACTTCATTGTCCAAGTGTGACTGGCATGACACTTGTCTTTGTTTTATTAAATCCAGCATCCGCATAGTTTCAAACTTTTCATGTTCCTTGATTTCTTCTAAACATCTGTTGACACTCTGTCGCACATGGTAACTCATTTCGGTGGTATTTTGTAATGATATGACCGATGGACCGATAATGACATAAAACAACCCTAGAGTGACCGACAAGGTGAAGAAAAATGAATAAATTAGATAAATGACAATAAATAGAAAAACAAGCCCTCTCGAAGTTTCAGCTGGGGGTCGAGGTATGATCTCCAAGGGTCTCTCCTGTTCAGGGCTGCTTAAAAGAGATGACCTCCGCTCGTCCTGGGCAGGTGACGGTGGAGGCAAAGGGGGCATCGTTCTACGGCCAACATTGTATATTAAGAGTCCGGCCAGTGTGCAAAGCATCATTGTTCCAAGGATACTGGCAGAGACTAAAATAGCAATTACTGGTTTCCAGGGGGATATTTTCACAGTAGTGTACTTCTTGATATTGTATGAACTAGACGCCGACTTTGTGTATTCATTAGTAACTTCATGCGTGGTCAGATGTAAACGGTGGGTGCTCTCGATGTCGCTCAGCATCACAGTTAATATAGATGGCTGTTTGGTGCCCCACTCTGTAAGAACAGCCGATATTTGGAAGTTGTTCGGGCAGTTGATAAACATGTCATAGCTCCCATAACAGATGCGATGCTCACTGTCGTAAACTTTCATCATCAGGTATCCAGGACATGAATAAAGAACACCTGTCAGAAAGAAAAAGCAAAAATGCTATTATTTTAATACAATTGAACGAATTGACATATTCTTTTAGGCCTAATGGTCAGTGAGTATTTATATTTACTGGGTGTGTCATACAAAATTTGACTCGTCAAAGATTGACAGGACATAAAACCAACCAACCAACCAAATCCTCTTATACCAACCAAATGACTTGATGTTGGGTAATGCATAGTATGGCTAGTTTGGTTGACTATTACAGCAGAGTAGTGAGTTCAATCCTCACTGGGTACACTATACAAAAATTCAACATTAAATCAGGAGTGAGGTTCATTCTCACTCTGTACTGCATGCAAAAATTCAAATAAATATCACAAAGGTTGATATGTCATAAAATCAATCAATCAACAATTAGCAAAGTTAGTCTGATTAAACATTACTAATATGATAGTGTGTTTGATCCTTACTGGGTGCCCAACATTAAATATCACATAAATGTAAAATCAATCAACCAATTAACAAAATCCTCTGGGTACCTCAGCATTGGATAACTATTAGAAAACTTTAGCCTGGTTGATCATAACTGTTTAGTAGTGACTTTGATCTATGCTAGGGGCCCCATTCAAAATTTTACATTAAATAATCCAACAATGGTTGTCAGAGCATAAAATCAACCAACACAAACTAACCATTCTTTTATGCTAATCATCTCTTCTTGATAACAGCTCCAATGACTTGTGTGCAAACATTTTTATTAGTATATATAAGAATTTCTTTATAAAGTTTTTGAATTAAATACTATTCAACTTTACATAAATGTATGTTTTAAATTTTATGGAAATATCTTTCACTATTGAAAGGAGCCATCTATAAATTAGAAGTATTTTTCTTTATGTAAATATCAAGTATTATTAAAGGTTTATCATATATTTATTTAATTGCTTATTTCTTATTTTGCAGCTGACTGTTAAGAGAAAAAGCAGTAAACCAATCTTTTATTAAAACATAACCTGTTTACACTTAAATGCAAAGGAAGTCCAATTTCATGGGTTTAAACCTATTTCAGAATATAGAGTAAGTTTTAAAGCAAAATAAATAAAACATTTTTATTAGCTTGAAGCAAATGTTTAAGCAGAAAGTATTTTTAAAGTCTAAAAGAAGTCCATAAAATTCCAATTATTTTTTTTCCTTGGTTTAATTTTTTTAACCTACAAATAAAATTTTAAACTCGTTAAATGAATATGTTGACTTTCACATGTGGGCACTTTGGCGTTGTGTAATGGTTAGCAAGCTTTTCTTGCTAAAACAATTATGAATGAGTAGTGAGTTTGATCCTCACTGGATGCCCCATACTTTTGGCCTTGTGCCACATCTAAATTGTGCTTAGAAAATCACCATATTGACCTCCACATCAAGTTCTTAAGCATCCATAAAAAATTCTATGCTATAAATTTTTGGTATTAGGATTAGCATTAAAACCAAAGACAATTTTCTATTAACTTAGATTTTTGTTATAATTAAAAGTCCTATTTTAAAACTTGCAATGAATTTCTCAGGTTGACAGCAATTTTTCTAAATCTGAGAGATTACCTTTGATCTTCATCATCCAGTGTCCTAGAACTGGCTGCCAGTACAGCTTCACTTCCAGACTGCTGCTGTTCAACAAGGCATTGGGAAAATCGTGTTGGTAGTGCCGCAAAATAGAGCTGTTTGCTGAAAAGAAAAATTGACTTATTGAATAACAGAAAGAAAAATACAGAGGCAATATAAATAAAAATATTTCTGTAATGATTTAAAATCATCAATACCCCATATTTGTGAAATAATTAATGACTGAAGTAAGAGTAAACATTTTTTGCTACTTCTTTGGAGAGTGGATTGCCTTTCTTCATAGTTTCCTGACCTGGATTCATGGCTTTATTCTTTCATTGGAATTTACCAACAAAAGCTGAAATTGGCTTGCTAAACCATTTTTATAATTTTTTCTGGGGTCCAAACAGTCATGGCATTCAACCACAGTTCCTAAGAAGTAGCAAAATTATGCAATTATTTTACTTCATTAAAAGCTTATTTAAAAGATATTTTGAAGTGGTGTAAAATTTTTCAACTATTTTCTTTTAGTGGCAATGTCTTTTCAGACCTTGCGGTTGATTTTGTCTCTCTACAACTTCCTGTCTTTTTTGCTCTAAATAACTTTTCACTCTTTACAATCCCTCTTTCTTCCTGTTCTGCTATCCAATCACTCAAACTTATTAAGTAGATTACTTGCTGTTTCCTCTTTGCTTCTTTTGCCTTCAGTATATTCTGTAAGTGTTATATTCTCCAGCTCCTCTATCCTCATCCTGTGCTCCAGAGATTTCAACTGTAACTTTTCTTTGTAGTTACTATTTTTCTGAAAACTTCCTCATTGTGCATATGTTCTGTCTATGGTATTCTCAACATTTGTCTGTAAAAGTTGAATAACTCTGGTGAGAAGACACATCCTTGTCTTATACTCCTTTCTAATTTTGCATATTTATTGAATTCATTTTCTACCCATATACAGGTGGTTTGCTGCCAGTGTGGGTTTTTTGATTATTCTAATACTGACTTATATATGTATAGTCAACTGGTTCTACACAAACATCTACACATTTGTGTATAACCAGCCAGATATTTTGGAAGAAAGAAATGGTGCACAGTGTGTCTCCAGACACCTCTCGTCAGGTTTGAATTCAGAGTAAAAATTTAGGAGTTGAAATATGAGCAAAATTTCATGCTATCAAAAATAAGTCTTACGATTTTTTTATGCAAGATGACAAATCCTCCCTATTAAAATGATTACATTATATTAGGATCTATAGCTTATTCTGTCAAGTTTTATTTGGATTTTCCTGATGCCGATGGACTTTTTCTACTAGCACATCAAATTGCGAATATGCCACTTCCTGCGCTATCCTATTAGGGAATTATTACTTTAGATAAAAATCTTAATTATTGAAAAAATACAGATTTGTCTCCCCTTGATTTCATAACATTCACTCTTTTTTGATTTACGTTTTCAAAACCAGTGTCTCCCAAATTTAGAAATTGGATTTCATATTTTCAACATTAAATCATTTTTTTTAATCTTAATAGTTAATCTAAGCTTAAATTCAAATTCAAAATTAAGCTACAATTCTTTGTCCATCTTCAAAGATTAAAAGTAACTTATCAAGACATTAAAAAGGTGTTTAGTGTAGATACAATAGCTGAAAACCTCAAGATGTGAAAACAGGAAGTGAGTTGAGAAACAAAATGGCAGCTTTCACAAACAAAAGAAAATGAAAATTTTGAGTCAAACAAGCCATTGCTTTTCTAGAAGATGTGAAGTCAGATGAGAATATGGTTGGTGTAGATTCTTCCAGAAAAAAATTACGCTCATCAAATAAATGTGTATGAAGAGAATATTGGAGTTAAAAAAATACAATAATTTAGAAAGTTTCCGCTAAAAATAATTAACAAGTGGTGTTAGAGTTTAATTAGTACTGACAATGAAAGAAAGTAATCAAAGTAAAAAAAAATTGTTTTCTTCAATATAAGAAGCCAATTACTGATAGTATTCATAAACACTTCTTTACAAATTCAGTAAAATGACATACACATGAATTTTATTTCTTTCTAATATGACTGATGATACTTTTTTTTTCTATGGATAACATAATTCTTTCAAACAAAAACTATAGATATATAGAGACACTTTCCATCAAAATCTTTTAAAAAGTGGTGGAAAACAAGGATGTGTCTTCTAACTGGATTAATTTAAACTTTACTCTCAGTTAGTGCGCACATGGCCAAGTGGTTAGAATGTTAGTGTTGACCTTGGTTCGAATCTCATTATGCCATTATGCTCAGCCTTATGACCACATATTGTTGAAACACTAGTTCATGTATGATAACTGGGTAAGCAACATCAAGCCTATTCAGTACCTAGATAGCTGACTGTTTGGGAATACCAGGTCCCATAAGCTTGGATGTGCAGATGGTGTAATAGATAATAGCTCAGAATTGTTAATTGGAGAGCAGAGTTCCAATTCTTGTTAAGATCATTATATTCACTTATATGCAAATACCCTTGGGAAATGATTCTCCCCCAGATATGGCTTATTTTAACAATGAAAGATATGAAGAGCCATGACCCACCCCCACGTCCTGAATGGACAGGGTACATAAAAGAAAATAAGGAAATAAAGAATTAACTTACCACTGATGAGCAATTTGATCTGCGGGGTCTCTTTGGTGTTTGAGATGTGGTAATGAAAGCGACCATCGAGAACTGATTTGTGTGCATTTACTGAGTCACCATTATCGACGAATACCATTTGAGCAGGATAAATCTTGGAGGAGTTCTTGCCACACCCACCGTTATGCCAAGTCATAGAGCTATATTCAAATGGCTTTGAGAACTGGGCATCAGTGGAGTATATATTCTGTTTGGGATTATTGACATCAAATCTCTTGTAAAAATCCTGCGCTTGTTTTAATGAGTGAAGGGAAAATTCAACACGACTGTGTTCCTTCACTAGGATTGCTTCTTCGCGTACTGGGAGCTGAGAGGAATGTTCAACTGATATAAAATCCACTGTTACTATACTGTGGTGATGGAAATCTGTGGATTCTGCGTACACAGTTCGATGTTTTTCTTTAAACTGATAGCCCACTTGTGGTATGTCGACACTATAATTTATACTGTAGAGTTTAGTTGGTTTTTTGTATTGTATATGGCAGAAGAATTGACTTGTGATCGTGTTAAACATTGGTCGTAACGTGAATACATAGGCATCACCTGGAATAGAGAAAGAAAAATAATTAGCAAAAAAATCAACTACCCTATATGAGTGCAAAAAAAAAGCAAAAGAAAAATGTGATAATGCTAATGGTGAAATTAGACATTTCTATACAGGAAACATTTGACATACTTTGACTGAATAGATTGCATTACTCATTGGTGGATCTACTATGTAACTAATGAAGCTTAACCTTCAGGGCCCCTAAATTTCAGAGGGGCCCTGAAGCTTAATGAGTAAATTTTTTAACAAAATCAATGAGTGTCATTTTAAAGTGTTTGTTATTAAAATAAGGCCATTTTGGTGATAGAATCATGAGCCAATGCGTTAAAGTAGCTAATGTTGGTCTTAGAATTTGCTCTAATACCCATTTCATGGGGCCTCAAAATTCCTCTGTAACTGGTCAGATTTCAAGATTTTCTTGGGGGCGTGCAGTGTCAAACCCTCAGCTGTATGGGCTCATTGAGCTCACTAGAATCTATTCATAGCCCTCATTTTGGTAGTAAGATCCTTTAATTTATTGTTGTTGGTTGTGAAGGATCCCCCATATTTTTCAGGTTTCAGGGCCCTAAAAATATAGGTCTGCCACTGGTGTTGGTTAAAATTTATAAAATTTTCTCTCAAAATAGATTTTCAGGAAAATAGGCTTCTCAAGAACACTGCCTCCTTCTAGTATTAATGGGAGTTTCCTCCCTAAACTTTTGTTTAAGGTAGTGTGGAAAGTTAATATCTTGATTATATTATTTTCTCTTCCAGTTATATTTGCTGCTGTTATGAACTCTGTAAGTTTTTAACAAAGTGGATTCATGATAGAAATTATTAGGATTATATTAACCTCAACTTTCTGCATTCTATTGAGGTTTTTTTCAGACTTGATGAATTACTTAAAAGTGGATTCAATTCTAAATAAATAAATTATAAAAAGAAATTCTCCCTGCTGATTTCCTTTGGAATACCTGTTACTGGATCTAAATTTTACAGAAGGAAGAGTCTGCAGATATTTCTTAACTAGAATAGACATAATTTAAATTAATTTTTAGTTAAAAAATAAATAACTGGTTTCAAAGTCTGGTACCATAATAAACATTTAGCCAGCAAATAGTATCACAATGGAAGTGATTTGTGAGAAGCCTGCTGCTCAAGGGGAACTTACATCTCACCGATGAAATAGGAAAGGAATGTGATTGGTTTTCTGAAATGGGTGTGGCATGGTGGGTCTGAACCATGAAGGCTTCTGGCTTACATTGAAAGGAATTTTACAAATGTCTGTGCTTGTGAAATCAACAATAAAAATAGACTAAATAAAGCAAGTAGGAGAAACAAATAATGTAAAAGCCTGAAATGAGATAGAATCAATACAAAATTATTTTAATACCTTACAAAATATCATAAAATTTACAGGCTGTGATTAGGAAAAAATATAAAGTGTAATCACAATGTAAAACTTAAAAAGGTTGATATGAAAAGAAAAATGTTTTTTACCTGTAGCACATTCTACTGGACTTGGTGAACAGAGTGAGTCATATGATTTTCGACAGGAGTAAGTTCTATAGCATGGAATCTGACAACAGGAGTTCTCACCACGAAGAGGGCCTGAAAAATATGACAAAGATGTTACTTAATAATAATGTGGAATATAGTAAACTGATTGAATTCAAATGACATTATACTGATTACATTTTTTTTTTTAGTTCATAGTAATTTGTACCTGTCAGAGATTATCATGTAACAATTGGATTTAAAGTGCAACTAATATTGAAACAATAATGATTCCATTTTTAATTCATGATATAATATGAATATATGTAATAACATTTTCCTTTGGTCAAGGAAGCTTTCTGTTGTGGGTTCTGAGATGAAATTCAGTCTCCAATGAATGACAAATGCAAGAATTAAAAATAAGAAATTAAATGTATTTACACAATAATACAAAGGGTAATACTGTTAGTAAATCCAGGAACGCGGTTAGTAGCAATAACATATAGATATATACACTCTCGAAGTAGGACTTCCTTAGAGTTTACGTGCTTGTAACTGACTTCTACAAGCGGTTACCTCACACTATTACTCTACTTCCAACTCAATCACAATCTCAGTCTTCTTACTATCTCAATCTCACTGACTCTGGGTATTTAACGGCAGCAGTCCAAGTAACACTTTGGTCAAGTCCACTTATATGAAAAAGGAGTGGACCCCATAACACTTTCAAAATTAGTCATAAATTCTTATATGTGTGTGCATCTGTCTATGGTGCTTCAAAAATGCCAAACATCATGGAATAAGTGTCAAGTGTCATACCGTTATCCTATGACTTTTGTCACATCAGGGTTTATATATATATATATATATATATATATATATATGTGTGTGCGTGTGTGTATGTATGTAGGCAGCATATTCTCTTTTAGGCATGTCTGACTGAATAAATTACAGATATTATATCTGCTAATTTTTAACAAAATCTGTTCATACTCACAAATAACCTTCTGTGAATTGATGTTAAAGGATGAGAGAAATGTGCTATAGCTGTTTAAATTTCTTTTATTTTCATTTCCCAAGCACTTTCAATCTTTTTCCAAGATCATCTTCAGGAGTTCAAGTAATAAAAAACTATATGTTGTTCATTAATATAAGTAAGTATTTATACAAAGTTGTGCATTGTTATCCATTACTTGGATATATTATATTTATTATAGGTTACTATCTGCTCCAAATCCACTAAAAATTGAATTAGCAGTATGTTTTTTCTTTATTATTAGGAACAGTTAAATCATACTGATAAGTGCCCTGCATGTTAAAAAGAATAAAAAAATATGTGGTTAGCATTAATTAAAAATAAAAAAGAATATTAGCATTCACACAAAGAAAATTTCTTTTCCCATCAAGTCCAGTAGCTGTTATTGCTCTTTCCAGTATTGATATGTGTTTCCATCTTAACCTTTTGTTTGAAATAGTGTGGAATAATTTCTTAGAAATTAAATGCAATCTCTTCAGAAATATTTTTCTAGGCCTGAGGCAATGACTTTCATAACATGTTGGTTTTAAAGAAGAAATGTAATGAGAGAAGAAAAACCAAAATATTTTTCCTTTTATTTTCTGTAAAATGAAAAGTCACTGCATGTCAGTGTTCAAAATAAAAAAGAAATTGTTTATAAACATTTCAATTGAGAGAACAATTTGGGTTCATAATGAAGACATAAAATTTAATTTATAATCCGTTTTCTCACATTGAGTGTGACATCCATTTTCTCCTTAATCCAGACCAGTCAAAGGCCTTGACAAGTCTATTAAAATCAACATTAAATTTTTTTTTAATTAAAAATTTTCTGTTTCTTTTCTTTTTTATTATTTTTTGTTTCACAAATACAAAGAGGCACTGAAAAATACTTGGCCTCGCAGAGTAGCATTTTCATAAAAAAAGAAAACTGATATTTTAGTGATTTTGTCAGATTGTAGGAAGTGGGTTGGATTGATAATTTGTTCAGCACCCCCTCATAGTCAAATTGTCACTTCATTTCATTGTCACTGTTGATGAACGGTAAGATTGGGACAAAATCTGAAATAGCAGTTTCAGTCAGGTAATTAGATTTCTATAATTAATTACCGGACAGCATCAAGTTGTTCACATCTGCAAGTCACAATAACTACATGTTAACTCAATCATATCACTCTGTCCAAGAGCCACACTTTCCATTACAGTGAAATGGCTATTCAGATGATGCCAATGGTAATGATGAAAGGATTAGTGTGTAGCAATTGGGGTGGGGGTCAAAACACAACCTAATTTTTTTATCATTGCAAATGATGCATTAAAAAATACATGTCGGTGGATAACAAATAATGCGATTAGTTCTTGCCACCATCAGTTTGATTGGTTGGTGAATTGAATTAGAGCAACATCAAACTATCGTGTGATTTGAATATGTAGTATGTATTGGTATGGACGACTAGAGAAATAGGGAAAGTGCGTGTGTTTGTTTTGGGAGATAATATGAGATTGGTTGAAGAATTAAATTAGATGTCAAGTTACAAAGACTCAGATATAAAGCTGGAATAGGCATTGTAGTGTAAATGCACATACACACGTGTGTGTGAGTGTGTAATTTGAATAGAAGACAGAAAGAGTATGCTTGTTTTAGATATAATGTGTGATACACTGAAGAACTAAATGAACAAAATATTAAGCTATATAATGTGTGATTAGAAGACATAATACTCAATATTGTGTGTATGCACACACACACATATGTGTGTGTGTGTGTAAATGTAAAAAGCAGAGATTTAATTGAAAAATGACAAATATAATATTGGTAGGTGTAGGTAATTTATGTATATGTGTCAAAGAACTGATTCAGAATGGTGATAAATTACAGAAAATATGTGATAGGGAGATGCAACTTATGTGTGAAAATGAAGTAGAACACAAAATGATGACACAACATACTTAAGTGGGCTTTAAGGTATGTAAGGGACTATGCAAATAAATCAGATCATATGATATATATATATATATATATATATATATATATATATATATGGGTGTATGTGTGTATTAAACCATAAAAGTTATATTTAGTTGATATGTGTGTCAGTTGACACCCCCTGTTTTAAACAGAGAATTAGCAGCCTGGCTAATTTGACTGTTGAAAAAAGATCAGGATATCTGCGTAAATATATACAAGCATTAATATAATGTTTACAGTAAAAAGTGATAATGTCAGATTATATATATATATATATATATATATGTGTGTGTGTGTGCATGTTGTGTATTTGGACAGCAATTCTTCTTTTATACATGATTTATTAAAATTGATGGACAAGGTACTGCAATTAAACATTTTATTTAATTTTCCTTGCATTCATACAAGTATATACTTTTCTGGATATAAAGTGTATAAAACTGTGTATATGTTCTATATATCTAAGTATTTCAGCTATATATATATATATATATATATATATATATATATATATATATATATATATATATATATGAAAAATGATATATGAATTTTTATATATCTGAATAATTTTAGGAAAATGTATGACGAATTGGAATAAATTTATTTAACTTTGTCATAGATTTTATATATATATATGTGTGTGTGTGTGTGTGAACATAAAAGTTACATTTTTAATTTATTTTCCAACAGTCTGTTTCATGTTTAGTCATTTTTCTAAGTAGGCACCTGTTTATTTTAAATGCTCCCGGGATGTTTTTTTAAATGAAATTAATTACTTTTGTTCATTAAATTGTTTTTGTTTTGAATTGTTGACATGATGATGAATTATTCCTTCTGAAAAGAACAATGGATCTTGGGAATGTTCAAAATCAACAGGCCAACTTTGGAAAATCCTTTAGCATGAAGCAAGGTAATTCATGAGTTAATGGGCCATTCATGTTATTTTTCTGTGTAATAAAAAGCACTTTTAAAAGTATTTAATAGAGCACTCATATATAAGGAAAGGAATATATATATATATATATATATATATATATATGAATTTTACATAGGTAGGGTTAAATATAAGAAAAATTACAAAGAAGCTGCAAACATTTATACCATATCAACATGACATATTGCAAAAGTACTTGATAAACCTGTTTTCGATAAAGAGCTGGTAAGTTACTCTGATATAAATTTGGACTTTGGAGAGCTATCAAAGATTATGAAACAATAGAAAAAAAATCATCATTATTAAAAAGCCTAACTTATTCACATTCAATGAAACATATTTTTAAAATAACATGCTGATTAAGTGTGTATGCAGACATACTATCAGTTGATATGCATGCATACTTGATTTCCGTTGGCAAACACAAGCCAAAACCATGATTTTACTTTGATTGTGTCAGCATAAAATATAAGATTACTCACTGGAATTTCTGCATCCTCTTTGGATACAAGATAGGCAACTCTTGGTATAGTTTTCACATTCCCTGGATCGAAACATCAACTCTGTCACGTTTGCCGTCTTCATCCCAAACACTGCTGTTAAAAGAGGTGATTCATCTAAACAGACGATACTGTTCGCCGCTGGAGACAGTTGCAGAAGCCTTTGACCCTGAAGAAGAAAGAAAAATATGAAATGAAACATCAAAATTATTCATTTGAATGCAACATTGGAATCTAATGAAAAAACCTTGCACAAATGTAATGTAAATGAGTACAGCCATGTTTATAACATACCCAAATTGGACCTGAAATGATTTTATGAGTTTTATGATTGTGTAGATAGTAAACTCTAGAAATAAGATCTTCAAAGTGGCAATCTGCTACTGAATTTCTAGAATTAAGAGAAGAGAAATAATTAAATAAAAACTCTTGGGAGAAAGTGCCATTTGGACGGAAGTTAGGAAGTTCCATTTACATACTTATATAAGCAGAGACACAGTTCGAATTGTCAGTTTTCAGGCTGCCTATTGGTGGAGATGAAGCAGAGATGGACAGTGAGGGCGATCAGTGAGAATTGGCAGTCAGAATCATGGGAGAGAAGTGGTTAAAGCAAAAGAAATTCTTGATGGCCAAAGGGAAGATCAGGTCCATTAATCAGTCATGAGAGATGACAGAAGTAGTGAAGTCATTCCAAGCATCAGCTACTTACCCTCCAGACTCTATCAAGTGAATCTGTGAATAAATAACCAAATATATTGGAAACAGGATTCATGCTTTCATTTGTCACTGTTATTTTCACCTTCTTATCTGATTAAAAAAAAAAAAAGAAAAGTAAAACTTATTCTGTCTGGAAAGTGTTTTCTTTAGCCTTTTGTGACTATTTAGAAATTACTACTCAATACGTCATCTTTTATGTTATTCAGATTATAAAATGATTTTGGGTAATCTTTACACCAAACAAGTGATACCAAAATATAATATCATAATATGAAATGAATGAAAATAATTAAAACTTGACTTGAGGGCTCCATAATGATAACAGTAATATTAACTGTTTCCTTATAAGGAATATATATATATATTTGCCTATTGTCTGATTTACTCTTCTACCTAGTTTTTGAACAGGAGCAGAGGCTTATCCTTTGTTTCCTGTTTAGGATTGGTTTTCAAATTCCTTCGAATGTATTTTTTCTTCTCTTTCACTTCCAGTGATCCTTGTGTCTTGGTGGCATTATCACCTTGCTTGGAGTAGTGCCTCTTAATCTGTAACCCTCTGCTTTGAGTAGCTTTTGGGCCTTGTACAGAGTGAACATCATTGTAAAACATTTGGCATTCATAGCCTAAACAGCCAGTGCTACACAAGTTATGCTTTCCTTCACTCCCTGCTAATTGGGATGGAATTGAAGTGTAGTATCTGTTCTCCTCTTCTCTAATGGTAATATTAGCTGTTTCCTTATAAGGAAACATTTCAGCATTCATTGATTGAACAGATGGTGCTGATATTATTTTAAATTTCTAAAATTTTTATATTAAAACAATTTTTCAGGAAAATAAGTTTTTCAAGTCCACTAGCTATTATCATTCTTTCCAGTATTTACAGGGGTTTCCTTCCTTGCCTTTTGTTTAAGGCAGTGTGGAATGTCAACAACTTGATTATGTCGTCATGCTCTCATTGTGTTATACATGTTATCCATTAAGTAGTTGAGTTGCTGCTGCTGAAAGTCCTCAAGTGGTGTGGTTTCTTTTATCTGTTACAGTACTTTGTGATTCTGTCGTACCAGTTCATAAAGTTTGAAGAAGGATGGTCCTTGCTAAGAACTACATGCTTCCCTATCTAGAAGCCATTTTTAGCCATTGCATATAGTTCACAGTTCAGATATCTTTAAACAGGGTTGCCATCATGCATGGCATCCATATGAAAGTTTTGATTTGATGATATTATTTAAGAACATGACTCAAGTTTATACATTAATGTTTTGGTCTTGCAGTAGTGGGTGAAACTAAACCAATCTCCTTACTGATGTTAATTATAAGATTCCTTTTCATTCATATTTTCTCTGAAACGTCATCATTTCTCACATGTATGGTCCATGGTATTCCTAGCATCTTTCTGCAGAACTACATTTCTGCTGCTTCAAGTCTCTTCTTTATCGATGAGGAGATTGTCAAGCATCCACTGCCATATAGCAAGTTTGATATTATGTAACTGTTCAGTACTCTTTTCTCTGTTTCTAATGAAATTTTCTTGTTTCTTAATACTATGCTTAGCTTTAGGAAAGCACTTTTCACCATCCCAATACACCTTCAGATTTCAGTGTCACACTTTCCGTCCTCTGTTAAAACACTTCGCAGATATTTAAATTGTTGTACTTGCTTGATTTTGGTATCTCCAATTTGTAATTTGCATGTTGGGCTGTCCCTTTTGCTAACAACCATGTATTCTTTCTTCTTGCAAGTGATGTTTAATCATTTCTTTTTGCTTTCCTTCACTAACTTTTGTAGGAATTCTAGTTTTCTTTCTATATCTGCTTTCAACACTATGTCATCTGTATATCTTATGTTGTTAAGATTGTGGCCACCATTAATGAATCCTGGTAGTATCTCTTATTCTCTTGAATCACTTTACTGTAGTGATTTTCCAAGCATAGCTTAGATGTGGCACAAGGCTGAAAGTATGGGGCACCCAGTGAGGATCGAACTCACTACTCATTTGTAATTGTGCTCGCGAGACAACTTGCTAACTATTACACTGCCTCGGGGTGCCCGAATCACCTTAATGTATAGTGATAAGATAGGTCCTTGTCTTACACCCCTTTCTATTTTTGTATATTTAGTGAATTCATTTTTTATATGTATGCAGGTAGTTTGCTGCCAGTATAGGTTCTGGATTATTCTAACATCCTTCTCAAATATGTGTCAGGGTTACTTTGTAGTTCCAACAGCCCTTTGAGACATAATTCATCAAATGCTTTTGCATAATCTGTGAAACTCAGGTATACATCCTTTTGAATTTGTATTGCTCTTTTTGAAATCATTCTGAGCATAGTTATCTTTAAGAGTCTTTAACAAATCCACACTGTTCTCCTATTTCCAGTTTAATTCTACTGTGCATTCTTTACAGTTTTGAAATACAGAGAATAAAAAAAATGTAGATAGCTACTCTCAGCCTGTCAATGATGCAAATTTTCAAGAGTTTGAGTAATTTATAGAATGTTAGAAAAACCTAGTTAAATTTTTAATTTATAGAATGTTAGAAAAACCGAGTTAAATTTTTAATTTATAGAATGTTAGAAAAACCGAGTTGAATTTTTAATTTATAGAATGTTAGAAAAACCTAGTTAAATTTTTAATTTATAGAATGTTAGAAAAACCGAGTTAAATTTTTAATTTATAGAATGTTAGAAAAACCGAGTTAAATTTTTAATTTATAGAATGTTAGAAAAACCTAGTTAAATTTTTAATTTATAGAATGTTAGAAAAAATCTGGTTAAAGCTTTACCATGAAACAAACTGTTTTTCCATTTTATTTGCCATATAGTGTCTTAGATAGAACCCTTGCTTAGTGAGCAGAAAACTGTGGTGTGTTAGTCCCCTTTGCACCATAAGGGACGCCTGAGATGAATTAAGGGCCCATTTTCCTTAACGACCTTAATGTTGGTTATAACTTATTACAACTTCCTATCCTTTTTAACACAAAGCAATCCTCTCACTCCCCCATTCTATGCATTTAGGTAGATTATTCGCAGTTTCCCTTTGACTTCAATATATCCTATAAGAGTCACAAATTCTCCAAGTCCTCTTTCCTCATTATGTATTCCAGAAATATTGACTCTGTTAAGAAATTATTCAACATATACTGCTATATATTAGGACTGTTATTATATATAAATCCAGCAATATTTTGTCTATTACAAAACAGCAATTAAGTGACAAAAACACCAGGCAATTTTATATTGCCTACAACATAACTGATACTTCATTCAGTAATACTAAAAAAATACAAATACTAAAATATTAGTCTTACTGTGTCTGCAATGTGAAAATAATGTCAGTATTTATGTTTCGAGGGGGCTCGGTGGATAGTGGTTCCGATTGAAGAATCAGAGAGCCGAGTTCGAATTCCAGTCGAATCCATTACATCTACTTCCATGCTAATACTCTAGGGAAAGGTATGAATCCTCTTCTTCTCCCAGCTACAGGTAAATAGCAGGACAGACCAGGTTCTATAGCATTGGATGGTAACTGCTCTACCGCAGAAAGAAATGGCAACCTACTGTGGGAAAAAATCTGCCTCTTCAGTCATGTATCGAAAGATACATGATCGCCTAAGTGTGTATCACGCATAGCACATAACTGACTGACTGATTTATGTTTCATATACACATAAATTTAAAAACAAAAACAATTATTAAAATGCTAAAGTTGTGTAGTTTCCACATAATAAAATGACAAAAATTTTGAAAATCATTTAAGTTGTTTGGATTTTGATTTGGTTTCATACATTTTTTGACATTCTTAAACTTCTATGCCCTGGACATAGTTGCAAAATTTAATGAAAATCAGTATAAATCCATAAATTGTAATTTAACATGTGTAAGTACATATTGTATTTTAGTCTATTCTTTGTATATTATCAGTAAAAATAATTAAAATTAATACTCATCTCAAAAAAAAAAAAAATGTCTAAGTATATATTCCACTTGTGGAACAATAGGTACTAAGGGTTTAATATGTAATAAATAATATTTACTTGGATTTTATGAATTTAAGTGTGCTGTGAGATTGGCTGCAATCATTACAGTTGAAATGACTAGACATAACCATAAGTTCTATGTTAACCATTTCTTTACACACACTTCTTGCTTGTAGAATGCATATTTCATATTAATCATTTATCATATATATATATATATATATAGATAGATAGAGAGAGCGAGAGTTAATATTTATGTTAATTTAGCATTTAAGTTATATTACCATAAAACCCCATTGTTCTAACTTATAAATATTATTTAGCATATTCAATTTCAACAAATAGCAATTAGAGAAGAATCTGCAATATTATTGGTTATGACCTAGCATCTTATTTTCAGTCACTTCCCACCAGTGTAACATAGCTTTACTGTGCCTTTTCTACAAATATTTTTGTGGTAATTGTTCTTATGAGGT